TTTTGTTGTGTCCTCTTGCTTGCCTAATTTTGGTTTTGTCTATATATTTACCTATATTTGCAAATGGGACTACAGGTACTTTGTTTTTTTATTGTTATATTTGCAAATTAGCTACAATAAGACCATGATGTTTGTATGAAAGTGTTTCTAGAACAATCTTCTTATCTGTTTCAGTACAAAAGTAATGCATATGAGTTTTTTGGTTTGAGGTTCATCTCTGCAGTTGTTTGATGAAACAAAAAGTTGGATTGAAGCCTTGCAATACTGCGATCAACAGAGTTCCTCTCTGGTTGAAATAACTAACCAGACAGTTTTGGAGGAGCTAAAGACCATCTTGGCAAACAAGACAGGACTGCAGAAAGAGGTCTGGGTCGGCCTTGAGCGGTCCATTTTTGGCACCAACGTAAAGTGGCAGTGGATATCGGGAGCCACAGCTGAACAAGCTGACTGGATCAGCAGTTTTCCGGCTAATGGTTTCAACAATCACTGTGGAAAGATTGTCTGGAATAATCAGTCACAAACCATCCAGCTGCTTGATGCCAACTGCCATGATAAATTACCCTTCATCTGCCAAGGTGAGCTGCTCACAGTAGAGTCCAGTTTGACATAACATTTAATTATACTGGAAATATGTTTTAACGAGAAGCTTGATATAAACAATGGACACTAAAATTTGACTAGAAACATAAATCAAAATACATTAAAAATAAAACAACTGTGTCTTTCCTTTACAGATAAGACTGAGATGCTTGAAGACTAAATGAATTTTACTCTGGAGGATTATTTTGAATCACTGCTGGTGTATTTCTTGCATGCCTTTCAAATTAAGTTTTGTGTTTTGCATTTCTTACATTTTTTTTTCTTTTGTACAGCATAATACATAGGTTAGACATCTATTGTTATTTAACTGTCAGTTTTGTTGAAGATTAGCTACCTTAAAATAAATATTTCATTCCTTGTCTTGGTTTAGAGAATATATATATATACTCTCATAATATCTGTTGTTTAAAACAATAAATTGAACCTAATTTTATCTAACATTGAAGGCGTCCTGTCTCACTGAGTCATGGTTTCTCTAAAGGTCTTTAAGTACAACCTTACTGAGGCTGAAATAAACAGCAGTCTGCATCAGCATGAGCGTTGCTGACGCAGGGTATGTGTAGGACATGTCCACCGCACCTCCTTCATCTGTGCTCTCTAGTGTCCCCCATATACGCTACATGCGCTACAACTGTTTTCCACTTCTTGCTGCAGAAACCAAGAAAGCAGCTAAGCAGCCAAAAGTAACAAACTCTCAATAAAAGGCAATGGGAAGTTAAAGAAACCATAGCAACTGTAATGCTGACAACAATTAAAAAATGTATAAAAAGTGAGTTTACATCTGTAGTTTAGGCTCCAAGCCCCCACAATAGAAAACAACTTTAAAAAAATGCTAGATGGACGTATTTCCAATTTTTTTTTAATTGTCATGACCAAATATTGTGTATTTTATCAGGGTTTCTCGTGCAATAATTTGATAAGCCGAATTAGCTAACTCTTGAGTTTCCCGATAGGATCTGAAGCTCTGATGCAAAAAGAGTTTGACTACATTTTAGTGTTGATTTTATGAAAGTACAAATTGAAGATAGGGTACAACAACCATAAAAACAGCACCAAGTAAATGTAGTCAAGTCCTTTATGAAAATAGGAACCTTATACTGGGAGTCAAATCACACGTTCATTCTGTGGAGCGCAGGAGAAACAGAAAACTAATATAAGAGAGAATCTTTCTCTAGAAAAACATCCACAGCTGTGGCAACACCATAGTTGGCTCACAGGAACTCTTAACTTTGTGTTTGGATTTTATTGCCACTGACAATTTCAATCAACCTTCAAGAGTAAAGCCAAAAAAATACAGATCCAATCAAATAGTAAACTAGGAAAAACTCTTTATATGGCCTCTTACATTCACCAAGCATAATCAATAACAATGTTTGAAAAAGTCAACACAACTAGAAGAAAATATTCAAACAAGCAAAAACCCTTTTTACCAAGGTTAAGGAAATGTGAAAGGGAAGGAAAGCAGATGATCTTTGAACTCTTCTTTCCCCATTTTGCTTTCTTCTGCAAACACTCAAAAGTCTGTTAGCTTGTGTATCATTTCTGCATTTATTATCTAAACTAGAGGTCCTCAAGTCCAATCCTCAAGGGCCGGGGTTCAACACAGATGGCTAAATCATCTGCAGTCAAGTTCTCCAGAATCCTGCTAATGACCTCATTATTTGGCTCAGGTATGTTGAAGTGAGACATCTAAAACCCACAGGACGCTGACCCTGGAGGACTGGATTTGAGGATCCCTAACCTTAACTCACAGTGTAATTTCTCTCTGCTTAGGAAAATAAAGAAGTTATCCAGTGATTGGACATAAATAAGATGATGTCAGACTGAAATGGAGAACGAAATGAAATGAGAAAAACCAAAGAGAGTGTATTTTAAAGGTAATCTGTGTAAGACTGGATACACATACCACAGTGCTGTAAAACGTTTACCTTTAGAATGTAGAACAGAACATTTTATGCTGTCTGGTGTAGCTACAACACTAGAGTATTCTTCGTTTCATCATAATTAAAGCAAGTACTGCTTTAATGATTGTCACTTAATGTTAGTTTTCAGCTATTTCCAACATCACCTTATTTAAAGACATAGTTGAATGAAATCAAAGCAGCCTTCATCCATTAAATGCCGTCCTCTAATCTCAGCTCAGTCATCTTTCTGGGTCATCTCTCTAAGGCACTCGTACAGGTTCCGCTTCCTGTCTTCAGGAGCGGACTGGATGGTCTGCTCCAGCAACTGCTCCACCTCCTTCAGTCCTTCCACCTTCGGGATGCCGTGTGAATACAGGAAGCCAGCGAGCAGGTTGCAGTGGCAGTGTTCGGAGAGCAGGCCACACAAGTAACGCAGGAACATATCGTAATGTCCCAGCTTGGAGCTCAGGGTCCGGGCCACAGCGCACTGCACAAGGCCTGCAGCTGATTTGCCATTGTATTTATACGAGAAGACTCTGGGCAGGAAGCCACTCTCCAGAACGTTCTTAGAGTCCAGGTAGAACGCTAAGAAGACGTACAGAGCAGCCATGAACTCCTAGGAGAGGAAACAGCAGATGTTAAGGGATTGGTTATGCTTGTCACTATTTACAAGTTGGAAAACTGTAACTATCTACAGTTTTTACAAATGTAGCAGGCAGTTTTAATGTCACTCTGCTTTCCATTTCTCTCAAGCAGCTATGCCACCTAGTGGGGGAATGCAGAAACTACAATCTGATTTGGGTTTAAAGCAACTTCTGGGGTTTTTGCTGTTCACCACTCTGCCTCCACCAAAGAGGATAAACAACCTTAGACTTTCCAAGTGATCAATAATGATTGAAAATATTGTGAATTTAAGCTATAAATAATTATTTTTTCTAAAATGAGCCCAGCTCTTACAGTGTAATATCCAACTATACTCAGTTTAAAGGGTAGGAATGGTGTTGGGAAGAAGCTGCACAGCAAAGGAATAACTACTGTTATCGATCGAGCTTCCCAAATAATCCATTCATTCTCCATCCGGCTTAATTCTGTGTCATTCCAGCAGGCAACGGAGCGAGACGCATGGTTCCCCCCTAGTCACCAGTCCATAAAAGGGCAACAAAAAGACATGCAGGACAAAATCATGTATGTAAACCCACCATCATGACAAAGGGCAATTTAGACGAGCCATTCAACCCAATATTCATCTTAGTTTGAGTCAATTGATAAATTTCACTGAACATAACTGTAAGAATCAAGTTAGAAACAACAGCACAAGAAATAACCAATTAATATACTTGGATTGTTTTGCATCACACACTGCTAATTTGAAGCTCTATCAGGCTTTGTGTTGTTTTACTCTGTCATATGTGTGTTTAGGATTTCAGGACTTTTTTGCATAGACCCTTTGGAATAACAACTTACTTCAGATTCCCAAACAAGACCAGACAGCCATCCATTTCCTGTTTAAAAGTGATTTCCCCAAACAAACAAGATAGAAGCAGCACCAGATGCCATGCTGATGTGTCTCTAAGTCAGACAGACGATCATAGAGCTGCCACATATCTGTGGAGATGGAGCCGGGCTCAAGCTGAAGACAACCGCATGCATCAGGCTCAAAAGTCTCTTTTGCTCAGAGTGAATGTTGATTTAACATCAGCTGATTTTCTTCTTGTTGGTATCAATACGACACTCCTCACATACTTTAAAAATAGCTCATAAAAACCCAAATTAGACCATCAAAATAACATTCCTCTTGACATCTGCGACTCAAACAGCCTCACACAGCCTTGATATATTTGTATAGAACCTGGTTGTTTTACTCTAAGGTTATCTAAAAAAAAAATATTTAGGACCAACTTTCTCATATTTTAAAGCCTAGATCTATTCTTACAAATCCCCAATAAAATTCTGACAGATTGGTTTCATTGTTGAAAAATGCTTCAATTCCACATTCCTTACCAAGAGCAAACTGCAGACTCATTAGCAAGGAGTTAAATTCTCACTAAATCATTAGTTGGGTGCAATATACAGACACAACATGGTGGTTTACCTGAATGGTGTAGTGAGAGAAGCAGAACGTCCTTTTCCCGGTGATGGCTGTAGGAACGAGCTCGGTACAAAGGCCCGAGAACACAACCACCTCGTTCAGCTCCAGAGCCACGTCCTTTACATCCTCCTCGGTGAACACGTTGGTGTTCTTCTCCAGCATCTTGAAGGACATCTTCCCTAACATTCTCAGCAAGTTTACCTCAACTTTGGTCCATTTCTGCATGAAAACAGGCCAGAAACAAGACATTGCAAACGGCAACGCTGAAATTGAGACATGGAGAGACAACATTTAAACAGGAAAACGCAGTACACACCTCATTATCCCTCTTTCTGAAGTAGAACTTCAGCATGCGATTCGTCTGGATGATAATAAAGTGGATGAGAAACGGCGTCACTCTGGGCTTGTTGCTTCCATAGTTCTCCTGCTTATAGCAGCTCTTGAATATTCTTGACACCATCCAGGTGAAAAACGGCTGGCGAGCGAGAATCTGAATCGTCGGCACACGCTTGTAGTGTCTCACAATCTTCGCTGATAACTGAGCGTCAGCAAAGTGCTTGGTCAGGTAGTCGTCTTTCATCTCATCACTGGAGAACACAGAGAAGAGGGTAAGGAAAAAGCACAATACTAAACAGAGACTTTTAACAAATAAAAGAGACCACCTACGTAAAACCCTGCAGCTCAGCGACAACATCTACAAACTTAGACGGTATCTCTGTGACCGCTGCTCGTCTTCCCAGGATCCAGAGTCGAGCATTAGGAAGCAAATTTCCTCGTATGAGGTTGACAATCAAAATATCTATGTGTGTTTTGGTGTTGTTATCGGTAATCTCCGGAGCTTTCTGAAGGTAAGAACAAAACATAAAACCTTTTTTTTTTTAAAACTTCTTCTTGCGACATTTTCTTATAACTTAGATTTAGTTTTCCTAAATATATTTACTTCTTTATTCCAAATGCAGGCAAGAATGTCAACAGATCCATGTCAGTTAATCAGAATATCAGCAAATCGTTAATTTATTTAATTGTATGACTCATAAAATGACCCCCTGCTGACTTGACAGCTGTCCTGTAGATAGACACTGATAGACAACTCCTTTTTTGTAATAATCCTAATAAATATTCTGAGAATCATAATTTGGCTTTTTCATTTGCTCAAATCAATAATAATCAGTTCACAGAAAAGAACCCTTGAAATAAATCACTCTGTGTAATAAGTCTAGTTAAAACTTTGAGTTAATGAATCATCATTTATAGATGATTTCTGAAGATTCTCCCGAATGTGTGCAGAGGGGATACCTGAAAGTCCAGAGGCGCCTCGTAGCAATCATAGCAGTCCATTATAATGATATATTTGGCGTTCTCTTCCTCCAGTATCTTCAGACCCTTTATAGGAGCGTGGCAATATTCCAATATCTCTTGCATCGATATGCCTTCTTCCTCATATTCTTTGTTCCGGAAATGTCGCAGGGACCGGAACGAAAGCTTCAAGATGTACTGAATATCCTGAGCAGAAATGAAAAGGAATCAAAACAGTTTAATTTCCAAAATATACAAATATACAAGCAAACAAACAAAAATGCTTTTCAAAGATATCTACAAGAACAGAAACTACATCTGTAGTGTGGAAAACTAATATCAAATTTCAATGACAATACTGACACATTACACATTAATGACAATGTTACCAAATGGTGCACACTGCTGTAGTAAAGAATGAAGAAAAACAGACAAATGGAAAACAAATCTAAATAAGAGGAAAGTTGATGAGATATTCAAATAAAAGCTGCGTGTTTTAAGGATTCAAGGAATTTATTTTCATTTCAAACATGTTAAAAACATGAAGTGGAATGAAATTAGTTACTCTGGTCCCGGTGCAAACCTAAAATTGCTAGCTAATATGAGTTTAAAAGATAACTAGATCAGATCATCAAAGAAATAGAAAAATGTGTCACTGTCTAGTTGTGGCCACATGCCACATTTTTTTCAGATTTCCATTTGCAAATCCCATGTACTATTTATCCTTCAGTTTTAAAATTAAACACCATTTTATGTTGGTTTATCGCATCAGAACCCAGATTACTGATTACTAAAAGAAAGCTTGTGTCCGTTCTCACCCTGTTGGCCTTTTCCTCTGACCAGTCTAGGCAGAACTTTGCCACAGAGACAGACATCCCGACTCCTGGGATCCCCGTGGTCACGACCGTCTTCACCGGTGAGCCGTCTTCTTTCTGCAGTCGGAACAGGTTGTTCAAGGCAACAAGCGAGTCCTCGCTGGGGACTTGGATAGGTTTCGGGGTTTGTGTTAAGATCTCATGAGACGGGTCGACTCCTCCAAAGCCACGGATGGAAATCTGAGGCTCCACATACACGGCGTTCAGAAACTGCTGCTTTCCGGCTTGAGGCACCCCCTCGTGAGTGATTTGACTTTTACGGAATAAAAACTCCTTGAGGTAAAAACGAAACAGAGCTGTTTGAGGAGAAAAAAAGAAAAGGAAAAAACATGAGTGGAATTCTGAATAAAGAGATAAATTAAGCCAGTTTCGAACATGCGCTTCATTTAATAAAGTACTGCATGTTCAGTTATGAATGGGATAAATCTGGTTTGTAAAGAGCTGCTTACAATACGATTTGTGTGCTCTGGTCTTTCTTCAAAATGACCCGGCGTTATCTCACCTTTCGCGCATTTTGTCTTCAGTTCATTAATCTCCTCCGTCTTCTCCAATCTTTCAAGCGTGCTTATTGTCTTTGTCAGGGCTTTATCCTGGCCTGGATGTGAAAAG